AGCAATATTTTTCCTATTCTTCTTGTGATGCAATATGATTTTAAATTAATTACAACTACTTCTTCTAGTAATTCAATTCACAATGTTGAATAAAAGAATTTTATTACTCTTACCACTTCTTCTCGTGAAAATATCTGTTTCAAAATAAATTACCAACACTTATTCTCCTGATTGACTCTGTAAATGTTTAATTAAAAATACTTTTTCTACTTCTCTTTCCATTAATTAAAATTTTTATTTTGAACTCTTATTTGTTTTTGTAAAAAAATTAATAACATAAGGATGCCTGTCAATATAAGGATGCCTGTCAAATCTTTGCCAAGATACCCGCAATATCGGGTATCATGGCCAAGATTAGCCAAGATACCCAATATTGTGCCAATATTACGCCAATATTGTTTGCTACTAGGGATATTACGTTTTTTTTTAATTTAATACGCTATTTTATATTTCTGGTATAGATTAAGGGGCTTGGTTATAAGAAAAATTATGTCTTCTTCTTGCCCCTGCTATTTGTATATATGTTATGCTTTACGACTTGAATAAATTTATATGGTTACAAAAAAAAAAAAAAAAAAAAAAAGAAAAAGTAATGAATAAGAATATTTTTAACTTTACTTTTAAAAGTGTAGCAGCAGATTTAGATATCATTGCGAGACAAAATAATTTTTAGGGGGTATAAATTGGGGGGAGGGCAGGATTTTATGACATTTTTTTTAAGTAAGTATTGGGTGAAAAAACAACCGGTGACAAAAAGGGGAGAGGTTCAAAAGTTGGTTGCGAAATGAAGACGTTTTTTATGGATTGCCCCAAAACTGTTTATTTATTACTATTGTAATAAATACAATCTCTTATCCATGAAAAACATATATCTGTACCAGTTTTATATATTTTAGTGCATTTGTATACAACAAAAAAGATTAACAAAATAATCTAAGATAAATGCAAAAGAAAATTTAACGCGTAAAGGTTTACTATGCCACAAACTGACGTCAATGCCCAAAATCATTTTTGCTTAACTTTTAAATAAGCGTTTAACATTATTCTTGTAGCCCTTAATCATGAAAATTAATTTTTTATGACTTTGGTTTAGTGCTCTAAGATCTTTTTAATTTTACTTTATAGCGTTACGTACAAATTTGTGTAAGTGAAAACGTTTTTATGTTGAGTTAGAAGGTATTTTATGGAATAATCGCGTATATCTATAAAATGAGAAAACTTAAAAATCTTATTTAAAATTAAATTTTTTTTTTTCTTTATATTCTTTTTTTTTTTGCTATGAATATATAAGCAAGATTGAAAAAACTTCAATTTTTATTATGCTAAGAGGAGGTCTTAAACCCTCCAAAACAAGACTAATCGCAACGCATCTAACCACTTCAGTGGTCAACGGACCTAAAAAAAAAACGTCTTTTCAACGTTCAAAAGACGTATAAAACGTTTAGAAGACGTTCAAAAAATGTTGAAAACGTTTATAAGTTGTTTAAAAGACGTCTTTTTTACGTCCGTGCCCACTGGGACTGAGCTGTCAATGAAATGCATTTAGCAGAATAACAAACCTAATTATAACCCACTTATAATCTCTACAAATGCGGAAAAAGTGGACATGTTGAGTTTTTTGCTCTTAAATTTTTTTTTCAGAATTTTTTATTTTACTAAAAAATATTAAAAGAAATAAGAAATAGGTATACAAATTTTTGGCTAGAAAAAAAAAAGTAAATTGGTAAAGACCTATGTTTTACGGTTCCGGAAAACTAGGATATATAAGGAAAAAGTATAGAAAATTTCGGTTGAGAATAGATATACAAAGATACATATTTTTACGGGGCTGATCTCAGCTAGTTTTTATAATACATATATATATATATATATATATATATATATATATATATATATATATATATATATATATATATATATATATATATATATATATATATATATATATATATGTATATATATATATATATATATATATATATATATATATATATATATATATATATATATATATATATATATATATATATATATATGTATATATATATATATATATATATATACAAGTTGAGATAGAAGAACTCAAAGGCTCTAAGGTGGCCTTGGCAATGAACAGCAAAAGTACAAACAGGGACACCATCCATGCGCAACATGGCACTGTTACTACTCTAATATTTTTCAGTTGTTGATGAAATCATCTTTTTTGTGAGCTACCACAGAGTTTAAAAAACCTGACTACCAGCCGGCCTCAGAATCATAAAACTGAGTTTTAGAGCTGTACCTTCATTTGGAGATAATATAATGAATTGCCTAGTCATAAAAACAGAGAAACAAGCAAAACCCATGCATCGAGTAAAGAAGATCCAGCTTTCAACATCCTAAAACTAAAAAAAATGTATTACAAACATCTGCGCCAGCCTAATAGATTAAGAAGGAGTGCGATGCTGGTCAAAAGATTGAATCTGTTTATACCTTATGTCTTTGCCTAGGAGGCCTTCTA